CAGATCTTATCGTGAGGCCAGTATCTCATTCCTGAGGTTTTAGATGTTAATGAAAGATGCTTTGCCTCCAGCCACTGGGGGCTGAATCAACAAGCCGAGGATTCCTGTTGGCCTTTGTAGGGGAATACCAAAGACACAGAGCGGACTGAGCTGAGGTCAGAAACAAAGCACTGAGCTGTAGTTGGAAATGCTGAGCCCAAAACAAGCTTGTATGCAATCTAGTGCAGTGGACCCCAACCACTTTTACCCGACATATTCTACCACTCATTCAAGTAGCTACCCTGACCCTTTATTGACACCACCTGTCCAAACATGTCTCATGTTAAACTGTATGGTAAAACTAATGATCATATAAATGTTACGATCATTTCTTCATCCAGTTGAATTGCATTTGCACTTGGAGTAGCATATACTAGGTGGAAGCTTCATATTTAGTGCCTATGTTACTATTAGCTAACAATTGATTTATTAACATTCTTTAACCAAATAATCTTAATCTTTCATCCTATACTAAGCATTTTACAATTCAAAATGTTATCCATTATTTTTTGCACTGACCTACTTTTAGCAATCTATTTCAACATTTATAATATTTTGCTAACTACTTTCTCCATTTATCAAAGGAGTTATTAGCAACTGTTTCAACCACTGAACCATTATCCCACCTTTAGCTATTTATTTCATCTATTTGTTAATTTCTTCCAACATTGATTATCCATTACTTTTGGCCCTTTACTTCCAACATGGCCATTGCTCAAAACTAACTGTTTGACCTCTCTGCTCTTGTAACTATTGCAATCATAACGAACAGTGTTCAATACTCCGGCTAACTCTGGTACAATCTTGTTTTACTTTTCTTTCTTTCTTTCTTCTTCTTCCCTAGACCTGCAGAAGTAAGATACAAGTACACCCGGTTGGAATCACTGATCTTGTGCACATGTGCAAGCTGACTTAAAAATATTAACTTTTTTATTTGTCCTAAGTCTAACATGATAATTATCTGATGCTGTCATATTGCGCATTTGCATGTATAAAAAACTAAGTACCAAAATGAGTGTGCTGGATCTATGTACACTGTGGCACAATAATACAAAATGAATGGCACATTATTCTTCTCATTGGAGAATTGAAATATTTTGATAATTACTTTTTATACCCTTAGTGTGCCCTGGCATCAGAGTAAACCAGCCTGAACAATATGTGTTGAGGATATGTAATTTCAGCCACTTAGGATCATTAAAAAGAGATCATATTGAATATCACTTCGAGGGAGAGAAAGAGAAAGCGAGAAAGAAATAAAGAAGAGATTTGTTTGTTAGTCAGTTCCGACCCTCTCAATCTCCTTAGCCTCGTGAAAGAGGGGGAGAGAAAGGGTCGGGGTCAGCTTTCTGTAAATCTTCTGATGAAATGTTGACAAAACAGCCAATTTTCTGTAATTTTGCTGCAGCCGTCTTTCAGCAGCTTACTCACTCAGAACCCCTTCATTTCAAACAGCAGCACACCGCGACCTCTGACTTGCATCTCGTCCCTGACTTCTTTGGCCTGGCAGAAAGACATAACAGTTGTGCCTTTTAGGTCAGGTGGACGCCGTTTAAGAAGCCAGCTTCATAAAGGAAGCCTTTGTCTCAAACAGGCTCTCCTGGGCCCCAGTAAAAGGATAAGAAATGTAGTTAATAGCTCAGGAGTGGCCTAATCATCAGCTGCCATTACTGCTCCAATATCAGCAGAGATGACAGACTTATCAATAACAAAGGCCCAGCTGAAGCCTCCACCGCTCTGTCATTTTGATCTTTGCTCCACTAATCAGAGCTTTCATTTGAGCTAAGCACCGGGCAGCACACCTCTCATTCTCTTCATGCTGTGCCAGATATCACTCATCTTTACAAGCCACTCCGTATTCCCTCAACCCCAGGCCACCATTTCCACAAATTGGCTTAATTTCTCAGGCAAATATATGACACATCTGAGAGCTCATTATCCCGGCAATGCAAGTGATTATTGTACTTACTGCTAAAACTCTCTTAGCTTTTAAGGTTTTGTGTGGAATGGCTTTGGTTGGAGCCCAGCTGAGTTTTAAAATGAAATGAAGATATGTCATACTGACTATCATTGTGGTATATAAATATTGCATTAGCTTACGCTGTGTTTGCACTTCCAAATACATAAAAGGATTTTAGGCATGTGTTTCTACTGTTTGGCCAATATAAAACATTGACTGTCCTATCTATGTGTGTGTATGAACCTTGCATGTTGTATTATTATATTATTGTTATATTAATAAAATAATGTCGTGTCATCCATATAGAGTAGAGATTGCCATTAAGAGAGCAAATTGCCCTCATGTAGAATATTACATATTCTAAAGGGATTGATGTATATGCTTTTTAATAGTAATATACATTGTTTAATGTCAATATTTCTCTTGTTCATTCTTCCACAAAAAGTTCCTCCATCAAGGAGAAACCCGAGAGGGCCAAAGAGGTGCTCCTGCACCTGGACGAGCTGGCCCTTTCATTTACAGTCATAGTGAGGATCAGGCACTGACTGACTCAGACACCTGCTATTGGGAAATATGTTCTCCATCAGTGAGCTATGGACTATTTCTGGACAGGAGCACTGGGAGACCATTGTTCTCCTCAGCACTGACAGCCAAGGTATTCTGGGACTCTTGGCACACATAGAAAACAATGTGTTATTCATGTTAAGCTTAAAAATTGGGCTACTTATTCAACATTAAGCAAACTGTGTTTAGAGTGGTGTTTGTTGACTGCGGCAGGGCAACTTTTAATATTGCAGTAAAAGTGCAAACATGACATATTCCACAAAAGAGGCTTATATGCATTGAGATTTTTTTCATTTAATTGTATGGGTGGAAAATAAATACTAATATATGTGAGAATTATTAATATACTTATTATGATTTTTTTTATTGTTAAACTTATTAGAGTTATTTCCAGAATCCCACAAATGTCATTTTCAAAGAATGAATACCTATCTTTCATATTATGCATAACCCATGGTTTCAAGTTTAACATAAAACCCTGGAGCTCCTTATTCCTTCAGTTTGAAACATGATCTGCACCCTTGAAGCAAATCATCTGCTCCCTGCTCCTATACAGTCTTATACAAGGGCAGGGGGTTTGGAGATTTTGCAATGTCATCTGGGATTAAAAAGGAGCAGCCCATCAGAGCCCCAGGCCACACCACCTGGAGCCCCTATACGATCCCTGGCGCTGCACCACTCAAAACCAGCCCCATTAGCTTACCGCCAAATAATTCCTGGTCAACCAAATGCCACTGAGCTCACAAAGCCCCATTTCAGAAAAGATTACAACTCCAACAGGAAACCCTTTGATTATGAGTTTGTTTGAAATGTTATCAATACCATGATCATTCCCGCGGATCAACAAAACCATCTCTAATCACCATACCTTGGCTGCACCTCCAGTTATGCATCAATCTCCTGAAAAAAAGGCAGGAAAAAAGAAAATCACTGAGAATAGAGGAGTGACTTGTTTAACAAGTAGCACGTGCAATGACAAAGCGATTTCTTTCTCTACGCTGATCACCCACCTGCACACAGATTAGGTCAGATATTCACCTGAGCCGCCAACCTGTCACTCACACTCAGTGAAAAAACAGAAGCACACACAGCGCACATTCATTCCTCTCCACTACAAGTATTACAGATAAAGTGCCCTTAACAGAAGACAGCAGACAAGAGTTTACCTTGTCCCCATCACCAGCAGAAACACAGACTCCATAAAGTTATCAATACAACAGTAAAATAAGATTTTAAAACACAGCATATACACTGTTTGCAAGCACCTAGAATAATCAAAGAGTGAAAAAAATAAAATCATATAAAGTTGAACAGTCTATTGCCACCTTCACCTCTGGTGGGGTCACTGTGTAGCTCACATTGTTCATATACACTGTGATCAGTTTGTAGAGATAAAGGTTGTCAAGAAAAAAATGAAATCATTATAAAATATCAGATACAACAAGTCCAGATTGTGTGTAGGGGAAAGGAGTTTAGACATAATTATACTTGCAATTTTCAAGGTTATGTTCAAAGCTCTACTGTAAACATAAAGAGATTACCACAGTAAACAAACCTTTTTTTGTCGATATTGAATGATAGCCAAACACTAAAGAAAATTTTAAGTTGTGTTTTTTCTGAAGATATTTTTCTTAAGATGGAACTTACACGTACAGTATTTTCCCTTATGTTATTTTCGTGGTTTTATTGTCTTGATGCAAGAACATATTTCTGCACTGAGTTGTGCATCATACAGAGAAGGGTTGAAAGCGGAGGTTTCATCATCAGTTTAGTCTCTGGCGCCACTTGGTGGTTTTTAAACAGAACTGAATGGATGCATTTTGAGTTCATGAAAACTGATTATGTAACTCATATAAAAAAATACAAAACTTTCTTTAAAGCCAGCGAATAGTTACAGTAAAGTAGAATGTGACTATGAGAGAGAATTATGGGATGACCAATAAAGTGATTGGTGTTGAAGCAACACAACTCAACTCAGATGTAATGATTTGAAGGGGGTTCAACACCCCAACACCACAGTCCTCACTGGGTCTTGGTGGTAGTGATACCTTCATCTTCATCACTGTGTGGAGGCCAAAGTAAATAATATTGTCAATGAATATTAATAATTACAATTTGAAAAAGTAACTTTAAAATATATATATATATATATATATATATGTATATATAACCCCCTCCCCCTCTCAGTGTGTGTGTATCTGGGAATGCATATATTAATATAATATGAGGTTTAAAGAACTATTGTGTTGTGGTAAACATGCAGATAAATAGGAGAAAAATGCACTAAACCCACATTTAAACATTTCGAGCTCCCTCTCTCTGCCAGGAAGAAGCAGATAGTTTGACCTATGAACAGCCTCAACGGAGGCTGTTGTCAGCAGATAAGAGGATGAGTGGAGTTATCTGCCTCCAAACTCATTTGGAACCCCACTGCTGCTCTGCACTTCTTATTTTTTTGCGCATGTATATGTCCTGAATCACGTCATATATTTAAGAACAAGATGTCTCAGCACATAACACTGACAGGAGCAAGGGAGGGGCTGCTGCAAAACTCACTGATAGAATGAATGCAAAGAGCCAAAAGAACACTTCCTGTTGATGCAAAAAAATTGCAGCAGCAACTGTCTGACACATCTGGACTGGAGAGGGGGGGAGGCCTGGCTGTAGTGTTAGCGAACTACTGAGGGGAATGGACACCGTTTCGTGCTAATCTGCAAGACGGTGAGTTTGGCGGACTCGAACTACGGCTCGGACTAGTCACCGTAATGCAATGTCGGCTCGTCTTCGCCCTCACACTGTAAGTAATGGGGGGGGGGATCGTTGTCTGCGGCCGCACGCCAGCGACCAACTGCTAGTTAGCATTAGCCGCTGCTGTTCGCTACGTAGCCCTGGCTGACAGCTAAGCTAGCGAGCGCAGCAGCTAGTTCATGTGACAGCCGACACAGTTTGTACCCGTGTCCGACGCTGCAAACTCAGCCGCTAATCTCCACAGTGTTGTCAAGATATCTGAGGCTTGCTTATAGAAAATGTGACTGAATCGCAAGCTAACACACCGTGCGCGAAAGAGAGAAGTTTGTGGAGAAGTTACGCTTTTAATGAAATGAATGTTCGGTGTCGGGCTAGCATACACAGCTGGTTAGCCTGTGTGCTGCTTGATAGTTGGGTTTTTCGACCCCTCCGAGTCTATACCAATGTTTAACTATCACCAATCTAACTATGAGGCATGGTAGAAATGACAAACAGAGGAGCCATGACAACATTAAGCAGGTGGGGGGGGTTATGATCAAGCTAACGCTAACGTTAGCCGCTCCGCTATGTAGACCCCCAGGAATGGCTAACTAAAGTACGGGGCTAACTGAAGTAGTGTCAGAATGTTTTGTTTTTAAGTTTCCTTTGTCCCCCATGTGTATCTGCATTGTGTGTGAGTACTAAAGTATCAGCGGTACATGCTAACGTCCCGCAGTGTCCATTCACGATGATGCTAACACGGCTAAATGTGACTTTTAATTCTTAAATGTGGAGCTCACGCTTGTGATAATGTCTCGTAGTGCACTGGGCGTCATCCGGCCCGTGCGTGTTCGTACTGTCACAAACTGAACCTGAAATGTAACGACACCGGTGTTAGCACCGCTCCTGGCCCGAGTTAATGTACATGGAGAGCCGCTGTGTGGTGATGGGGCAAGCAAAGGACGAAGTGCAGTGACATGGCAGGTTATTCAGTACACCTGAGTTCACCTCGGTCAGCACGGACTTTGTTTTCTTGTTATTCCTGTGGCAGCTCAGCCCTGAGATCTCCCACCCTGCTGCACCAACCACCCAGTGAGAAACCCAGAAAACACACGTTATTCCTGGATACTGCATCTGACACCAGTCCAAATATTTTAACTAGAAGGCATGTCAGAACACAGCCGAGCCAGGGCCATTTCAGCGTTTGCATGAGTAGGCATTATGGTTTTGCACCCATTTAACTGCAGCTGCTTTTATAGTCCTGTTTCTGTTTGGGGTATAAAGCTGTAAAACTCTGCTGGTTGGAGCCATTATGACTGAAATTAGATGCTAGGTGAATAAGTTGATCTCTGTTTAAAAATAAAGAAAGAAAGCACTACTCCTGTGAGGTGAAATCTGGTTATTCAGAGATGTTTGGGGTGTGGGTGCAGTGGTATGATCTATGTTACTGTCAGCAGCAGTAGGTGCCATGTGTTGAGCTCTGTACGTTTATATATCGTTGGTGATCGTTTGTGTTGATGATATTGTTAAACAAATTTTTTAATGAAAGTATTTTACTATCTACCTATGTGATAGAGTCATTTTAATATTGTTTTGGGAAATTTGCTCGAAGTTGACAAATTCAACAAACATTTGAATTTGCATTTTAACAGCAAAGGGTGGATATGCAGCTCAAACCGTTCCCCTGCCTATTTAGAGGTGATAAATCCTGTTCTGTGGACACTGCCAACTGTACTCATAACAGCGTAATAACTGCAGGGTGGTTATATACTGTAGGTGAGAAGACAATGGAGCGGGATGCCCTAGATAATTAGTACAGGTTTTAAAAGCAGCATTCATGCTGCAAACATGATGTGGTACATTTGTCAGGCCTGACTGTAGACAAAACGCAGGGTAACATCTGCTGGAGGAAAGCACCAGTTTTGGAGGGCAGAGTTGGAGTCTTGATGCTGTGCGTCAACTAGTTACTCTCATCCCAATGCATCAGTTTTTGCATGAAGAAAATATTTGGCTGTCATTGTGGCAGCCTTTTTTTCTCTGTTGTTTTTTAGAACAATTTTTTCCCAGTGCAAGGTTAAGAATGGATATGTTGTATGAAACGGATAAGTCTTTCACTTGTGTTCATATGACAAGCATGTGAAGAGGCTGTAATGAAATATAACCATTTTCTTTTCATTTCCAGTTTTTCACAAGAAACAAGTCAAATAAGAGAACACACCCAAAGGCAAAGCATACAATATGGAGCTCTGCATATTGAGTTCCCTCTAAGCTCTTAACAATTTCCACAATGTATGTTATTCTTACACAAGCAAAGTTCTTAACATCATGCCTTCCCTTTAATGCATCACAATCTATTTTTATCTTGTTTTGTGCTATCCATTTGAAATTGCTCTCTCTAACCTTTGCCTGTTAAGCATTTCTGTTCTGGATCTGGTGTGGAAATGCTGCTGATGTTGAAGAAAGCCCACATTGCTTAGCTGCTGACTTTGATTTATCCTCTACTTTTCTTTTTTTTTTTTTGACTCCATATAAGACTCTGCGGCTTTCCACTACAGTTGTGCTGATGTTTTGGTTAGCCAAACTTTCACAAGATACTCAGCATCCTTTCTGTGTACCTACATGAAGCAGCTGTGTCAAACAGGTTTATTACCAGGCGGAGAACATGAGCCACAGATGGACTTTTTAAGCTGAGTTTTAACATTTTCGGTTCTCCCGCATGAGCCAAGCATGTGCGTCTCAACTACTGAGTGCACATTCTTTGGCTGCCTGTCAACTTGGCACGATCCAGTGTGCATCTTGTTGGCAGCTATTGCTGGTATGTGATATATAGTGTATGAACATGTTCTATTTAGAGGTGGGGGAGGGTAAATAATGCACACCTTGATATGATTCTCTCTAGTTTGTTACATCATTCCCTCTCCTGTGCCAGGATGGGAACATATGGACAGGTTGGACAGGTGTCTTGGCATGCTTTGGTAACTGGAGTGCTGACAGGGATTGCCTGTACATAAGCTCATTCTAAATTGCCGGCGTGGGTGGGAGGTTGTTGGTTCAGAAGAAGAGATAGTATAAGGGCAGATGGAGACTGTGTGTGGTTTTACAACGTGGAGATATTTGCTTTTACAAACATAATTATACAATATGAATAGGCAGGTGTGGTTTAACTAGTTCTGCTAAGAAGGCTGGGTCCATATTGGTTAATGTTTTATTAACTAAGTCAAGTCAGTGTATTGCTGTGCCGCTGCTATACCTTGTATAAGTGGGATTTAATTATTGATCATTTTGCCAAAATGTGATTCAATCAAAGTTTTTTGTGGCTAGCATGTTATAAAAATATCTTAACTGACGGAAGGGTAATGATGTGCTTATCAGAAGTGAAAGGATCAACAAGCATCAACCATAATCACAAAATTACAATTATTATCACAGTTACTTTGACACTTTCATTCGGATGCATCAGAGAAGCTTCAAATAGAAGAGACATTCAATTCAAGAACACATGGTGCTTGCTCCCCTTCACGTAGAACCAGATTTTCCTCTTTTCGCTGCCAAATGCAGTATATGTATTGCCCCCTCTTAAGACTATTATGAGCCACAGTAAGCTTACTATATACACTGTATTGTTGTGTTCCGCCAGTAGCATTTGTTTCATGTACTTTCATGTCACTATTTCTAGTTTAGCAGTAATAGCACTGTAATAATACATAAACAATGATTACAAATGAATGTATGCTGACAAAATATGAGTGTATGATAAAATGTAGAATTTTTTAATTCCTAATTGTATCTTTGCATTACCTAGTGTTTTTGTAATCTCTGTCCCTCTAATACTTTCACTTGTACCATCAGTATTTCAATACTTATGTTGTACTTTATTTGTGTTGCTCTGAAAAAATATCAGGTAAAAATGATTAAAATATTTATTGGATACATTTTGAATCATGTTGGTGATTGATCAGCATTTCTGGCTTAGCAGATCATGAGATGTCTTTTTTATCTGAGGGATGAAGCGTGAAGTTGTTTGAATACCTAATATTTAGTCTGTGCCATCTCAATACTTTCATTCAGACAGTATTTACAGTATCAGTAAATATAAGAAATGCAATGTAAATTTGGGGATGGAAAACATCACTGTAAAGAGCATAAATAAAAGTAGGGCTGGGTTTCACAACTGATACAGCGATATCAGATATTTCACTTTCAGTTTCAACACTGAATGTGAAAGAGATTATCAGAGAGCTGATGCTGTAACTGTACGGTTGTACAGGCAACTGTAGAAATTTAACAAGGCATTATTAAATATTAATGCTTACATTAATAATTGACCTCAGAGCAGTTACATTAATTTATTGTTAATTTAACATGACAAGTGCCAACAAGTGCATTAGTCAACATGTGTGTTGCATAAATGGTACACTGTGTCAAGTAAGCAACCCTGAATAGGTAAACAAATCGTATTGTAAATATATTATAACAACTAATTGAGGTTTTAAAATCAAATCACCACATAGTCAGTGTAAACATGACGTACTATACCAGATGTAAACATCTGTAATAACTCAGGAAAATCAAGTTACTGGGATTGTCTACCAAAGCTTTTGTGCAGTCAGCTACAGTGGTTGAAATACATAATAAATAAACAAATACAGTGTGTATCAGAAGAGACACAACCTCAAGTGTGTGTGAGACACTATACTGAATGTCAGTACATCCATACTGTGGTTCTTTAACTATTTATTCATGTATAATAAGCCAACATTTTTAACAACAATGTAGACGCATATCCTTGCATATACAAGTTGTGACATACATTTAATACTTTTAATAAAAATATCTTCTCTATTGGCTGTTGTTTATTAGATCTGATGTTTTTGCAGATTTTGTAACTGGGTGATGTTTTGTTGAATGGTCTTGAATATTTGTGTTAGTTCCCACTGTGGTGTTTACTACTTCATTTTAGACATCGTGCATGGTATAGTTGAAGAAGGGCTGTGTGATATGACCAAAATCTCAGATCTCAATAGAGTTCATTTTGTAACTGGATCAGGATTCACATAGTTAGTTGTTACTCCTTGCTCATACTGTGTAAATTATGGCCATGTCTTGTACGTTGCAATGGCAGCCAGTATCTCCTTCCATCAAAATGTTTTTTTCTCTTATCCAAATAGATGTGGTTTGTTGATGTTGACACTTTGATGCTATAAAAAGCTGGTGAAAAAACATGATTGACAGCTGAGACTGGTCAGGAAGATGTATCGGCAAGAAATCATTTTTATAGAGAGTTTTACAGTTATTGGTGGAACAGCTTCTATCTTGTTTTTTTGTCTCTTGAATCCTGCGACAGGCATGCAGTTCTCAGCAGGCAGATAGACCTCAACATAACACTGCACATAAGAGCTTGCTGCGAGCATATTTAGGGGGCAATCACAATAATCAAACCTCACTGGCCTGGTGTTTCTCATATAGAGTGTTGTATAAAATAAGCCTCAAGTGTTCATGTTTCCCATCTCATTTGTGTTCCACTGAACAGTTTTTTTGTTAAGTCTGAAATTGTAAAATTCATGCAATCCATTGCAAATGAAGTGTTTCAAAACCTAATGGGTTTTTCCCTTTCTTTTTTTCTTTCCCATCAGGCTGCCGACAAACTGGAGAAACATATCCAAGAAATGGACGACGGCAGTTACATCGAGTTTGATGTGCCGGAGTTCAGTAACACTGTTCTGACTCAGCTCAATGAGCTGCGGCTGCAAGGGAAACTGTGTGACATCATCGTTCACATTCAGGGCCAGCCATTTCGAGCACACAAGGCTGTGCTGGCAGCTAGTTCACCTTACTTCCGTGACCACTCAGCTCTTAGCACCATGAGTGGCCTTTCCATCTCGGTCATCAAAAGCCCTGAGGTGTTTGAACAGCTTCTTGCATTCTGCTACACAGGTCACATGTCCCTGCAGCTCAAGGATATCATCAGTTTTCTTACCGCTGCCAGCTTTCTACAGATGCAAGCCATCATTGACAAGTGTACCCAAATCTTGGAGAGCATCCACTCCAAGATCAGCCTTCCAGTTAGTGTCTGCAGCCCAGAGAAGGATGACTCGCAGACCAGTCGCAATGGGGTCAATGACAGCAACCTTTTTGTGAACCCTACCCAGATCTCCCCCCCTTACTACTCCCGGCAGAGTCAAGCAGGACACAGCTTGGGCCGGGGGCGGCAGCAGCATGAGGAAGGCCAGTCAGACCGTGGAAGCAGTGATAGTGTGTCAGAGCATGATACTCCAATGGAGGGAGAAACCGAGCAAGTGGAACTCATCGGCAAAGATGGGCAAGTAACAGATGTGCATGTGAAGGTAGAGAAGACAGACAGGCCCACCTACTCTGATAGTTCCTCAGCTGGTGATGATGGTTACCACACAGAGTTGGTGGATGGAGAACAGGTATTGGCTGTTAGTGTGGGATCATACTGTCCTGTCATCCAGCCTGCTACCTATTCTTACTCAGGGCTGTCCTCAAGCATGTCCCCATGCTTTGTCAACCTCAGCAGCTCCAGTCCCTCCCGCTCCATACTCAGTGGCTTCAGAGGTGGGCGAGCCAGGGCAAAACGCCCCCTGGCCATCCCAGCAGGGATGCTGAGTCATATCAAACCAGGCTCAGATGACAGCGAGTCAGCTGTTGGACCCACAGGATTGGAGAATGATGTGCGAGAGCGCAGCTTGCGGAGCCAATGGTACCCTTACAATGAGAGACTCATTTGCATCTACTGTGGAAAGACCTTCAATCAGAAAGGGAGCCTGGACCGCCACATGCGCCTGCACATGGGTATCACTCCATTTGTTTGCAAGTTCTGTGGCAAGAAGTACACGAGGAAAGACCAGCTCGAGTACCACATCCGAGGCCACACGGACAACAAGCCCTTCCACTGTCAGATCTGTGGAAAATGCTTCCCGTTTCAGGGCACCCTTAACCAGCACCTGCGGAAGAAGCACATGGGAGCATCAGAGGGCAGCAATCATATAGACTCTCCAGAGAGGACGGAGGGAAGCTCAGGCCAGAAGGACCAAGAGGAAAGGTCTGAGGGGATGGCCTTTGAGGCACAATATGCAGAAGAGGCGCCAGCCAATGATATGGAGGAAAGCTCAAAATGTAGTCCAGAGGAGGCTCAAGCATCCAGATGTGATTTTTAGGTTCTGCTTCAGGTTAAGGAAGCTTTAAGAAGTGTTTATTTCAACTCAAGTTAGAGGACTTTTTTCGTTTTTAATTAGCTCCCTCTACCAAGGACATTTCTTGCATTAAGGTAAAGTCGATGAATGCAGAGAGGAACTGGGTGCTTTATAGAAATTTTCTTATAAGCAAAGGGAGAAACAACTTACTATTTTTGAGGCGGTCTCAATAATCAAGACCCCCTTATTGATTTCTCTTTTTATCTTTCAATGTTTTTTTAAAACATATTTACAGAGTTATATAGGCATGTTGCAATAATTGATAATGTGAAAGCTCTGGTAAGATGCTTGTCATATCACCTTTTTACCTGACCTGTTTTTGCACATGTGGCCACAGGAGGTCACTTACTCACAAGGAATGATTTTTCTGCCAGTGCAAAGCTTGTGTGACATATCCGTTCAATACCTCATGAAGCAACTATACATACTCATAACAGACAGTATTTTAACTTACAATGAAACTCACCAGGTTCTACCTCATAGCCAAGAACCTACCAGGCACAGATATTTTCACCGTTTTAAATCCATTCTAGGTTGTTTGTACAGTATCTTTTTTGCCAAACCCTGTAAAGAATATTCACAAAGCCTTGATACTTAATGGGAAATATTCCTTGCTGATTGTATGGATCAGGGACAAAGTCCTTGTCAGTTGTTTCATCGTCAGCCAGGTTAAAATGATGATTAAGAAGGTGCTATGTTAGGAGTGCATTAAATTTGCTAGCTTGTGTGTTTGTTTTTGGCAAATGCAGAGAACAGAGTAAGAGAATGGCTCTGCATACTTTAAAGATATTGTTTTGCTCTCTAATAACATTTGTTCTACAAAAACCTAGATTTTAACTCTTATCACTACTGGAGATCTCAGTCTGTTGGCCAAGGTGGTTTTAGATGCTATCATCCATGTAATGGGTGAATAACATCCTCACAGTGAAAACATTTATATTCCTCTTATACTCTGATGGCAGATTTATACTGAACTATTCTATGTGTTTTGTCTTGATGGTAGGCTGGTAGGCTTTAGGTAAAAACTCAGCATCTAACTGAGACACGAGTACTCATTCTGTCAACTCAGCACAGTAGGAACAGCCCTGGATCTGTTCACGTAAATCAATGTAGTATACTAGTCTGAATAATATGCAAACAGAAAGAACAAAGGAATCATAGCCATTTTAACATGGTTTTTCTTACATTATTTGAAAGAATTATTGGTTTGTTTCCTTTTGTCTTTCACTCTGTCCTACCTTTTACGATGGGACAATCGATCTGTGATCTTTGTTTTCTGCATTGGTCGGGGTCAAATGCAGATTTGGAACATGGTTTACCTTATTTCAACAATCCTACTTTATGGCGTCGACATAGATGCAGCAGAGCTAGACTAAGGCTAAGAGGTAATAGCTTTTAGAGGTAGCTGGTGGGTGGGATGGGAGCAGTGATAAAATGTGCTAATCTAAGTCTTAAATCTGATGCAGTAACAGTGTCAGAGTATTACTGCTTCACTGCAGTGATTTTGTTTTCCTCTGAGTAAAAATATTGTGAACTTTGATTAGACTGTAATCACATGAATTATATTGGCTACAAGTCAAGCATATGACAACATTGTATTTTATCTATACTCTTTGAATTGTGGGGATCAGGGATGGGGATGTTTTTTAGCATATATAGACTTGGTTTTATTTCCATTCTGATTTGAAATAATCTACATTCACCGTTAAGACATAAAGGCACTTAGAAGGCCTCATTAATTAGTCATATTGTGCAAATTTAGAGCTCAGTCGGATGGTCCAATTTCTGTTATCTTGCGTTTTTGTTTGCCATCCAGCTGCTTAACGCTTTGTTTTTGAGCACCTGCTTGTTTTTTTTGTGCCGTCTGGTCCATGTGTTTGTGTCAATCAATTTGAGTTTGATTATTTTATAGTTTTCTTATAATTTTCTACATAAAATGCGTTTGGTGGGAGAAATTTGTGTTTTGTTGCTCATGTCCAACGTTACGTTAAGAGTGCAGTTCTTTTGATCCCAGTGAATGTGCGTTCATCATCTTCACTCATTGACGGCGAAGATAACTATCCAAAATTTCTTCGAGAATTTTGCAAAAAAAATCGCGATAGCTTGCTTTTCCTTATCTTTTTGTGTACGGATTTGTCATCACCCACAGTCTGCAAACCTACAAAGTACTTTTTTAGATGAATGTTTACTCAGTCAAGTTTATTTCTGTCAGCTGCTGATGTGGCAGCTGATCTGACCTCATCTAAAATACGCTGAATAATTCGATTCTGCCTATAAAGATTCTTGCCCTTCACCTAGAAAATTAGCAAATGAAAACTGTCCTGCATTATTGTTGGAAATGTTTTATGAGTAATGGGTACAAACTGCTAAAAAAACTTTGTGCCAAGAGTTAACACCAAAGACTAATAGGTGATTTTTAACAGTGAAGTTTGACTGTATTGTATAATTGAAAGCTTATTAAGAAGAATAGGTTCTTAGTTTAACTAGTAGGACTAGTTCATTGCTATTTGCAAGGAATGTATGTTTCAGCTAAAAACAATCACTTGTGTCAAATTTGAACAATTTGCTAAAAAGACATTAAGCCGCAAAAGTCATGAATAACATATATTAAGCCATAAAAAAGCTGACAATATAAAAGTTGTGCAATTGTAATTGTTTAAAGCCAATGTAAACAAGAGAGAGAATACTTAACAAAAAGTGGCATCTTAAACTTAGTGCCTTGCCACAAGCTTTACATGTTAGATTCTGGCACTTAGATTCCTGTGCCTCTTTCGTTTGTTAATGGATTGAATAGAGAGATTATAACAAAGTGCAGCCACATTATTTCCTGTTAAGTGGTACCAAGAATGAGAATTCATAGAAATTAATTCAAGTTATTCTGTCCATTTTTTTTTGTCATAGGACAGAGAAGTGGTTTTAAGGTTGAACTGATTTTGTAGCAGTCGATTACAATCAAACAAGGCAGACTTGTTCCCTGCAAGCCATCACCCCCATGACAATACTGTAAACCTTTTCTCTAGCCACCTAGGACAATCTTTGCAATGTACTGTAGTTGTAGACATTTCAATAAAGGAAGGAGATGCATGAGAAACGTAAATCTTCTTCTTCCCTGTTCTCTCAGAGCATCTGGCAGGGAAACAGCTGCCTGGGTATTTAGCTGATGATAAACTGTGGAGAAAAAAAAGAAGCTTACCTTCATATACTGTAGCTGAATTGCACGTTGCTCAACCACAAAAATTGTATGAAATTGCCAATGGATTTTTTTTTTTTTTTTTAAACTTGACCTTTTTTTGTATTTGTGTCATCAATTGTGCACTTACAGTTTTTCGTTGATAGTACATGCCAATTCCATCCAGGAAGTCTAGATTTCTCTGTAGTTATCCTTGAGAAGCTCACCTGTAATGGCCTCAGTCACTTTGTTAGGGACCTTTCCCCTTAAATGGTGGTTCTAGACTAGTCAGGTTTTTTTTTTCTTATCAAATGAATAAACAAGTCCATGTCTCCATAATAGGTGAATTGAGGGGAAATAGTTTCAATGCGTTTCATGAACTATAGTTACTAATGTGATAGTACACATCTACAGAACCAGCTGAACTTGAAACACTCGAATCGACTCTTTGTCAACTCTTCGTTCCACACCTCAGAGGAGCGAGAGATGCATTATGGGCCACAAGTAATCAAAAGGAAGTGTTTACAGGGAAGGCTGTCAGACTACTTTTTTGAAATTGCAGCTCGTCCTATTCCTTTTATAATAAACTCACTTCAGGTAGTTTACGAACACTGATACAGGCTTAGAAAAAAATCTTAAGTCTTCCATAGCTTTTCTGTCAGTTTCTGTCCACTGTGTATTCTGAAAAAAAGCAATAACCTTTTTAGAAGTGGTGTATTGGGATCATCAAGCCTATTGAAATATTGGCCTGTCATATATCAAACAAACTGAATGTCAGGGAGCTGTTGATTTAAGTAGGACCAGGACAATTTGATATTGATTTATTTTTATATATTTTCTGAAGCCTTGGACAGTTCGGGTTCCTCTTCAGAAAATATATATATAAATGAAAAAGTGGTGTTGCTTGCTGGTTCTTTTTTTAAATGATGATGATGATGATGATGATGAAAATCCAGTGGATAGTCAGTAAACTGCAACACAAGAACTGAGCACGTGGTTCAGTCGTCAAACTCAGTGGCACTGTTCAGAGTTGCACCTCCAGCTGTGTTAAATAATGAAAGGGATTTGGCGCTGTATAGCCACTGTTTAGGAGCGGGCTATCTGCTGTCATGTCATGGTTCAGTGATCTCCTTTAGCTCCCCGGGCGCCGAGACTAGTTGTAGTTGTTGAGGATAAAGAGGGGAAGTTTTCAATCTAGCTATTGTCCCATTTCCTTTTATACCTCTCTAAACACTGCTCTATAACGTGTCTGGCTCATATTTGGTGACAAGGCAAAAAACCTTAGAACTCAGGGTATATCGTGTTTCAAAGTGGTCTCATTGGACATACACCTTATGTCCATAGTATAATTGTGCACTTCTCTTCAGGTGGGGAAACAAGTCCTCAGTAGTGGTTCCCAAACATTCTGCCTCAACGTCTCAATGAGCACCATATTTTCCACAGAGCTGTAGCTCGGGGAGCTCTGGAGATCACGAGCTGAACCATGGCAGCAGCAACGCCCCAACTCCTGTTTTTGTCCACTCTACACACAACCTCACAACCCAACTGTGAACCTCAGAACTCTACTGTTTTGTACAACTATGAAGTAAATGAAGCTAGCTAGAGCTGATGTTGTATCTATTGCCATTTATGAATTTATTTTATAGCATGAAATAAAATATATTTATTCAAATTATATATTTTACTCATAATCATTCTGTGCTGCTTCATTTTGGTTCTTAAGCTTGTATATTGCTTTTTTATTATATAAAATAATGTCAATAGAATAATGCGTTTGTTTGTAAAATAAAGACGCTGATTTGGCTCTGATTTGTCTTTTTTGTTCCTCACAAGTGGATCGATTGAGTCTTTCTACATGTGCATGACAACTCCTCTAAAGCATCTGGTGTAAAGGGGAAAATGAGAGCAGACTGTACTATTTAGCCATCCTTTAATTATATTGTTCACGATGTGTTGAAGACATCCTATATGTTCAAAATGTGTGTCTGGTATGTATGGAATTCAGAATCCTGCAGTAAACTGGTATATAAAAGACGAGTGGAAGAATATCTGATGCAAGTGCAACTCTGGCCCTCCAGAGGGAGCTAGAGAATAAGAAGTACACATAAATGAGTCCCTCTTCTTTAGTGCCAGAAATTTGCCAGTCATTTTTAAATGAGAATTATATTATATCAGAATTATTAGGCCATTGTGACTTAAGACAGCTCTTTAATTTAAATCATTTAAAACGTTACTAATACAAAAACTAATTAGTCATTACCTTGGCTAAATAATAGGACACTGATGTGAAATCTAAGTTTAATACATTTAATAGATAAAAATTACCACACCAGATGTCTGAAAGAACCTTTCCTCTTGTGCGATCTATTTGGTGAATGGAAAATGGGTCATTTACAACTATCACAGAGGCCAAGTAGCAGAATATAAAGGATAAATTGCTTTAGTCTCAGATGGCTGGTAATAAATTTAATTTAACACCCGAAAGGCTCCTGCAGGATCTCCGGCCAAATTCTAAACCTGATCCTAAACAGTGTGATGGCTTCTGTCCCCGCTGTGTTAAAAATGCATCCAAAGGGACATTTTATGAACAGAAAGTGGCAGCTGTGCAACAGACCCCTGTGGTTGTAAGTGTTTGTGGCTTTAACAAAAAAATAAGACTATAAAGGAGCCAAATGACTAATAAACCATGTAACTGGCCAACTATGTGCTGCACTAACATTTTCTGGAAACAAGTTTCAGGCTGCTTATTGCAGTTTGTGGAGGATTTCACCAGGTTTTTTGTGATTCATCTCTATAATATAATGCCTGACACTGATAATCTCAGAAATGTAACATAGTGCTCATACAAATTATGTGAAAGAAGCGTCAGTCATTGCTGAATATTCTAATAAACTGGACGAACTGTTTAAATGACAGCATTAGAGGGCTGCAAGGACATCTGATCCTAAAATAATATGCAGAATTGCTCTGTTCAGTGGAATATGAGAATAAAGAGAACCACAAGATACAAGGCCAGGAAACCCGAGGCAGCCCTGTTTCCACAAGGGGTCTTTAACTGCATTCTATGGGTATGATGTATTGCGGCTCTCAGTTACAGAAACCCTAACAGTCAGATGAGAGTGCATAACTGATAGGTATAGATTTAAATTTGTACTTTAGGGTCGATCATTACTTCTGTTGTGGCAGTGTTGCAACTAGAACATGACTGTTGGGTGTTCACTTCCCAGTAAACAGCTTTGTTGGACTTTTGTTTATGTCATGCAGCAGTGCACCCATAGTTTCAAAACTGCAAACCACTTGGTATCTCAAAGTTCAGGACAGGTCATGGCCCATAGTGGCAGGTTACCTTACCTGCTTGCTGCTGGAGTTTCTGTGACATGATGTGTTATAACATGATAAATTCATTGATTGAAATCTCAATAGTAACAAGATGTTTGAATCCTTGTTACTCCCTCAAACATAATGTCTCTGATTTTACTGACTCTTGTGAAATAGATGGAGCTTTACAATACAAATACAAATATCATTATTATTACTATAAAAACAGTCAACTATGCTATATGGCATTATTGTAACAGGGATGATACAGAAGTGACTCCAGCTATGACTGTATCTGACTGAGAATTAAAGTATAGCGGCGTATAGCAGAGAACTCTTTAGTCGTACTGAAAAAACACCCCACTACTCTGAATGTGTGAAATACATACAGTCTATGGTATCATGCTGCCACGTTGAGAGATTTGGGAGGAAGGAGAGTAGCTGGTGGGAACGAAGAGAACAAAGACAAGAGTTTCCCATTTACACAAGATGAGAATCAATAGTGGAAAGAAAATAAATACAGCACTTAAGTACAATTTTGAGGTTCTTGATTGTAAGTACTCAAGTTGACTATTTTCATTTTATAGCCTACTTTATAACCTACCCCACTACATTTCAGAGGAAAATATTGTTGGCTACTTTTTACTCTTCTACATTTATAGATTCATTTGCACCATAACAGAATAAGATTTTAAATTGTAACAGGCCGTGGGTTCCATTGCACTCTCCAGTCTTATAAAAGCAACGTGCAATTTTTCCCTGTCACTTTCTCACGTGGATTCATCTCAATAACTGCGAATAAATAATCAATATTAAACAATCACCAATGAAGATTAGAAACAATTCCCAGTGTGGTCCTACAGCAGAACTATCGTGTCCCTTCTTCTCTAATTAATCATCTCACAAGATTTATATAAACTGAACTAGCGCCACCACCCGCAGCTACACCGCTAACACATTCACCTCAGACAACACGTGCTGATGAGGACACGCCCACACCAGAGGAAACGTACCTCACAGCTCGTTGCTATGGTTACCGAGCGGTTCGCGGAAATTCGTTACTGAAGCCGGAAATGAAAGATGCGCACGTGTTGTGATTGAACAGTGTCCCTGCAAACACGCTACACCAGGATTTGTGCACGTCGACTAAATGTTGCTGCTGTTACCTCATCTATTCTCTTATTCATTTGAGGACGGTTTTTAAAATGTCTTTGTCATTTGACTTTGTTTACTCCTGGAGGGATTTTGGACCGACTCACGTCACCACAGGGGCGCGCGTGAGAGGCCTGCACGGCCCAGGTGTTTTCCTCAGGTGAACACCGGAGACAAGCTAACAGCTAACAGGTAAGCTAACATTTCTTGGTTACTACACTGCCTATGCTTTGCTTATTCGAAGAAACCAATAGAAACCAATGGCAACAGTAAATGAATGGGGCTGCTTCTGCTTGGGTAGCTTGACACAACAGTTTAATTTGGTTTCATATGTTAATGTGATAATGTTGCTCACAGCCTGCCAGGTAAATATAGCTCTAGAGTAATGCTCCCTAACTGCTGAAGCTATCCTGTTGAAATTGTCTTCCCTGCTACATTATTCTCTTACTGTAAAAAGTCACGTTACCATTGCTGGACATCTTGTTTTCTACATTTCAGACACCATTATTTTATTACTTGATAGTGGTTCAGATACCAGGCTTACACAGACAATGCTGTATCTGAGCTGGTTCTCATTATATTCTGTGCAGAACTCTGTAACTGTCCCTAATACACCAGGCTCCATTCTTTTCCAGTGGGCCTTGTTCATTTTGACATGTCACAGTAGGAAAAACACATGTGCAGATAATAAAATGAATTTTGCTGCTTTTTTTTTTTTTTTTAAAGTACTGACCTCACTGTTATGACTGACTGTGACTGTTATTAGTAATATCCGTTTTTTCCTACTGTAGCATGTCAAAATACCTACTGAGAAAAAAACATCACCACCACATGGCCTGGAGCTCTGCAAGGTATTGTTACCTCAGTTTACAAAACAGATTAATTACCTTTAGTGACAATGGGTTTTAATGAAGATCAGGGAGCACCAAACTTGAATACTATAGCTTTCTTTTTTTTATGTGGGAGAAATTATGTTATAATATAATAGCATTTCTCTTTCTTTTTATGTAAAGATGTAACCAGAGCTCATTCAGAGTACATCTATTGACTTTGGATCATTTGGGTGTACCTGCGTGCCTTATCTTGAATTTAACTGTATGTTTTACTCAGTATAAACAAAGAATGAATATAGATGCTGAGGTTAAATGGTTTCAAAACCAGACCTTTCTGCAACTCTTGTCATTAGCATATCATGTTCCAATTTATTGTTTTCTCAATTACCACCATCATTTCTAATCCTCATATTTTTAGCTAACAAATAGTAACACTGATAAATGACACCCATCTCCTGCACTGTAACTGTACTATCACTGTGCAGATGACTGGACAAGCTGAGTTGAATTGCGATAAGTGTGCCTTGGTTGGTTGGCACAACAAATCAACCAAAACCCAGAGAGAGGAACATTTGACAGCTTCTGAGAAGCCACTCCTTTTCCAACTATAAGCCTTTTATGTTGTTCATATTTTCCCTTTATTAAAAACTGAGTCACCCTATTATACTGGAGTTGACCTATGCTCCAGAAATGTTAATCCACAGGCGAGTAGTTAAGTAATAGTTTCAAGGATTATCGCTGTTTCTGTGTTGAGCTGTTTGGCTTATGTTTCTTATGGGGCAGGCCTCAACAGTGACTCCATTTAACACCTGACATTAAAATACGTCTCATATTCACAGATCAAATCTAGATATTATGCTAACCTGAATGAATGTCATTTTAAACTTTTTAAAGATTCTGTAGAGCGTGTTGAGGATGCTTGTTTTTCTCGCAATCTCTGGTGTGCACTCCAAAATAGGTTTTACATCTTGATATATATTGACATTGTTAAAATGCTTGCCTGCATTGTGATTTAAAATATCAGTTTGGTTTAATATTTGAAGATTTTGACATCATTTCACTTCATTGCTTAAAATAATTTTTAAAATGGAATTTATCAAACTAATGCCAGAGGACAATGAAGTTTGCATGTGTGTCTTTGGTTTTTACATCTGTGAGCAATTATTGAACGAGATGAAAATGTACCGTTTGAAAGGTCACATGCTGCATGCGGAAAAAATGAAGTATCACTGTTCAGTTCCTGAAAGATTCAACCTATTACATTGACTGTAAAAGATGTATATTGGTTTAACAGTAAAGATGTCTGGGTTTTTTCAAGTAGTGAATTATTGCACCATTGGTAAATTCACAGTAACACCTTTACAGTATTTAAGTTTCCATTGTGCTGAGGAAACTTTTCCTCTCGTACGTCCCTGAGCGATTTCCTGTAAGTTCCCAGAGGGCTCACAGACGTTCTGGAAGAACATGAAACAGTGGTCATGGCATGTGGCTGTAAAGCTATGAGCAAATCTGCACATCTCCACAGTTGGAAATCAGTTCAAATGCTGAGCTTTTGGAAAATGGAAAAAAAAACTCAGTAGTTCCACTATGTAAGTAATAAACAATGAAGTGACTATTCTCCCAAATGGGAGCTTCACCACATTATTATGCATTTCTATTTTCTATTTTTTAATAGCAACCATATGCATTACAATTATTCAACGGCAGCAGCAGGGGGAGTGGTTTGAGTAAATGACTTGGTAACATTTAGTGAAATCTCACTATTTGGTATTTTCTGGTGTTCAGAGGTGTGGTTTTGTCAAGTTACTGCTGTGTCACCTCAGTGGATTACTACACTTCATAGACATGGCAGAAGTGATGCAGATGGTGGAATGATAGCTTGTTTTGACAGGCTGTAGTGATTTATCATGGAAAGATAGAGGGATCACATTGAAAAGGAGACGACAGCAAGATGGATCTGATTCCACTTTGCAGATACTTCATGGTTAATGTCGCCATAAAATGTGTTTCGATAGCTGTGTCTTTATAGGAGGAACGATTCTTTTTATATGGTGTATTCTGATCCAACCTAATTGAAAAAATTATTTATCCATATGTTGTACGTCTGCTGGCTACTTGCATGAAAAGATTTTACCATTTAACATGCCCAAAGAAGATACAGTGGAAAGGTCCTCTTCCATAGACCTTATATAAAGATTGATGATATGACAGCTTCCCAACAGTGAAGCCAAAGTATCTTGATACTTCATGGATGGGACATCGACCTAAAGTCAAAGTACAATTTAAATTTAAATTTTCTCAAAAATGGTTCCATGATTTAAGGTAGATCTTATCACACTGATGTTCAAATACTAATTTTACTGGTGAGTTTGGTTTTAATAAGTTATTTGATGGCTCCAAAAGACGTCATCAATGCAAGATAACAGTGTTTGTATATTTATATATTATAGCAGATAGTTATGGCTTAATTTCTGGACGTGGAGACGTGTTTTCCCTTTTTATATACAGTCTGTTTCCTATACACAGTCCGTTCATTGTGACAGATGTGAAAACATTTAACACATCCTGAACATCTTTATAAGCTCTGAATGATTTTCACATGCAAGTTTAAGTTATCCAAGGGTCACATTGTTGTGTGATTGTTCTAATCCTGTAATGTTTAGCTCAATCCATGAATCATTTGGCAGAGCTTTTAGTAATTAACAATTAATCATACTTACGTAACATGTGTAGTCCATTTGTGGATGACTACATTTGCTCAGACTGGAGGGTTGCAATGTGTGTGGTTAAAGGCCCCAATGAAAAGATTGTACTGTGGTTTGACTACATTTACTCAAAAGGTGGAGTAAAAAAAACGATTCATGAGAGCACAGGAAAGTTAAAAATGGTTCCATTCAAAGTATTCAAGGACATGGACTTTTGCAGATGTGAAACAACAATACATGCCAATTTGAAGGTTCAGGTTTGAAGGCTCAGGAAATGCGGTTCTCTTTGTGCTGAGTGAGCACTGTGTCAGCTCATGGTTTTCCATGTTGGTTGAGGAGTGGGGGCTGCAAAGGCCTCCCTTACTGAAGGTTTTCCATGGTGGTGAGTCCTCAGACGTACTCGGCATCCAAAGAGTCTGTCGTCTCTGTTTATGGAGACGATGAAACACCGTCCTCTGCTTTACCACGATTTGGTTAATTGACAAAGCAGACCTTAACTGGTTTATTATGTAATTTCGATAAAAAGTGTTGAACTGTCTTGCCAGACAGAAGACTTCGGTAAAAGGTGCACTTTACAGTCCCATCCATCTTTAGTAGAAACACAGCTGACAACAGTGACAGTCCCAGTAATGGATGTCTTCCTTTGTCCAATCCAAAGCCTCTCTGTCACAGGAGAGAAGCTTTTTCACTTTTTGACTTATGAGTCAGTTTTAACAGCCAATGTTTGTCGTTTTAATGTAGGACAAGTGTTCTGGCTACAATCACATAAGCATCCATCTTCACTCTGGCAGCACAGAATGCTAACATGATATGTTAACTTTTATTTGGAGTGGGGGAATTTAAATGGAACACGCAACATTTTGCTCTGTTGATTATTGGTCTCTTCAGACGATCACACGTAGTCGGTCACAGGAATTCATACTGAATTGATTTCCATTGCTCTTTAAACTGTCCAAACCTTCTTCATCTCAAATCTAGTCACAAAATGAAAGTAATGGAGCTTGGTTCATTTCTGTTTAAACTCGTTCTTGTTTTATTTTCCAGCTGTCTTTGGAAATGTCATTGACACATAATGAAGTAAAGGTGATTTCTGCAGGCAGTGGAGGGGTCTGGTGGATGCATTAGTTTTACAAGCTTGTCACATTTCATTTGTTGTTCCTCTGTGTACTGGCTTTGTATGCAAACACTGACAGTGGTGATAATGTTTGAGACATGCTTTTATTCAATCAGATCTAATAATGCACTCTGCAGTTCATGTATGAAATGTATTTTCATAATGGTATTATGAAACATTATTTGATACTGAGCTTCAAGAATTCAGTTTATTGCAAATGAAAGCAGAAATGAAGGTATTGCACTGCAGGACATATTTAAAATCATATTTGTTTAAAGCTATGGTTGCTGCATGATGGAGGCATGTTCTGTAAATCGAGTTATTTTTGGAGCACATATGGAAAATAAAATATTGGTGATATTAATATTTCACAAAATAATACAATTACAGTCAATTTAATTAATTTTTTTAACCTCAGCATCCCTACAACCCTCAAAAGATTAGCAGTGTACAAAGTAAATTTATTTTATTTTATTATAATAGTAATTTATACCATACAATTAATTTTGGAATGTTTTACTGAGATTCTTATTTTATTCACAATACAAACACTGCATTTTCCACATTGTTACTTCAAGTGGAAAATTATATTCTTTCACTTAATCAAAAATTGTTGTCATATCATGGGTTTATATTTTATATTTTTATATTCATTTATTTCTCCTCCCATGCTTTAATATATTGAGAGACATATAATGTTGATAATACATTTATTTTTAGGGAGATAACAACCAAGAAGTTGTGCATTCAAAGTATACATTAGGGTGTAACCTCAGTATGTCTCAGTGTATGCATAAAATAATTTATAGAGATGGTTTGACTAGTACTAATATTATCATAATTAATGCATTAGTACCTAAGAGTCCCAAACAGTGGCTTATGGTCTTTTCTCTTCCTGTCCTGAGAGCAGGAGTGTGATCTTAACAAGGATAAATATGTCAACGCATGAACATATCATCACAGATCTTGGTGTCGCTCTCTTCTGATTGCAAATGTGTGTCACATTGTATGAATATTAATGACTGCTGTCATCAAGTGACATTGGCTAAAGAATGTAATTTAAGTTAAATGGAAGCCTTGAGAAACACAATATAGTTATAACGGTCTTATGCCAGACGTATGCATGTATCTCTCTCTTTCACTTTTTAAAAAAAGTATAAATGTTAGTTTGCTGGAAGCTGTTATTGCTGATCGCTAGCTTTAGTTGTGACTTATAACAAGAGAACAAAGAAAAGCACACAAGCTGTACATATTTTATTCCAAATTATTAGTGACATAACAGGTTTTAATACATTATATTACAAATATCTTATGTACATACGCAATGTGTTGGATCTATTGACATCAACAAACCACTAGATTTATACAGTAAATACAGTGCTTGGTTTATACAAGCAGATTGAATACCTGTTCAAGTCATTTCAAAGCAAGTATTATAGAATCTATTCCACAAATTCTGATAGAATGGATTTTTTGTTATTGGTAGCTTCGGTTATTTTTATTAACAATTTTTTCATTGTTTGAAAAGGTACATTTTATTGTAATTGATAAACCTGGCCTGTGCATTACACAGAAAATGATACTGTTCCTATAATTTGAAGATGTATTTTGAGTGAAATTAAGTCACCGGATACATTTCCTGTGTCAACCTCATTTTCTTCCAACTGCGAAAAAAACAAAACAAAACTTGACATACATACTAAATATATATATTTATTTGAGGATCCATATTTACTGAATGCTTGTAATCTGGTCTTCTCATCTCAAATTAGGTTCACATGGTATTTCTCACTCCGATCAAATGAACGCACTGTTTTTAAAACAACTCCTGTGCAAGGAGCACATCTTAACTGAGTTGTAGAGACACCTGAATAACAGTACACACATTTGAATTGTCTTGAGGGATCAATATATCAGCCTGATATTTTGATATTGTACTTTCCACGTTATCGTTCTTTTTACTAGGCTTAGCCTGGTGCCACTCCATTAGACAAGAGATACCATTTGCATGGATGTTAGGAGATGTGAAGGTTTTCTTTCAGTGAGAAATACAGTACAGTGTCTGTTCCATGGATGCCTAGTGAAAGGTATTTGGGTTTGGACGGATCATCATGACCACTCTCTTCAGTGAGTAGGCCCCTCCTCTGAACTCAGCCCAGTAGACTCCGTCTTGGTAGCGGCTGCGGTAGTGTCCTCCCCTGTACCAAACTCCATTCAAATTTGAATGGGCACAAGAGTTGTACCACCATCCTCCCTTCTGGTAGTGGGCACAGTTGCCTAGAAAGATGAATAAATAAACAGTCAGACAACATACATTGTGATCATGTTAATAGTTGGTTTATGACTGCCCAGATGTATCCAGTTTAACATTTAGTATCCTTCATGTTTTTACCTGTATATGCATCATGGTCTCTGTCCAGTGTTGTGAACTGTTTGCCGTTATGCCAGGTGAGGGAGTCTCCAGCATTGCCATGGTAACGGCCCACCCTTAGCTTGTAAAAGTCGGCTTCAGGCTCCACTCTGAAGCTGGCATACTCCGCAAACACCTTCCTGCCAGACCAGTCCTCCAGTGTGACCAGCAGTTTGTAGTTCCCCTGGTTAGTCAGCCAGTAGATGTTCTCCAGACCCAGCCAGTACTCGCCGTCAATATTGCCAAAACCTTGCTGTAAAGTGCAGTGATAGGAAAAATATTGTCAGAATGATTGAGAAAACTTTAGTAAATGCTCTTTGAAAAGTTTTGAACAGTTAGTTCGGATGTCTGGGGTATAATTCAGGGTCCTCGCTCAGAGATCTGGTGGTAATTATGAGTTTAACTGTTATATGGGGTTGTTTATTGTCAAGGAACATGATTATAAATGGACCCTCTGAGTCTGGTTTATAGCTCGTATCATGTGTCTAGATTTACACTGTTATATTGTTTATTGAAAACACAACAGGATGTGCGTAAGTGTGTATATTATGAAATCCCTCCTTCTGGACTCTTCTCTTGCTTTATTCTGTCTCTGGTCATACTGGAAGTTGGTTTGTGGTGTCCCCCGCCCTGCACATGCTTTGAGTCATGGAAACACCCCTTCTGATGAGTTTACAAATGACATTTCAGATCTCATGTGGTTAAAAGGTTTTTGGAAATGTCATGGAAATGTCTCCATTGTTGCCCTCAGCTAAGATTTAATCAGGACCCTTGTTAAGTGTTGGCCTGCAAACAATTATTTACCAATGAATTGCTTTTTCCTGTGAGGGCTTCCTTAGAAAAAGATAAATAAATACCACAGCCCTTTTTTTCCAGATAATTTCTGGTCCAGGCTTAAAAAACAGAAATGCTGCCAGAATCAACTAATGGGATACTTAGGTCCAATATTCCAGCACTTTTTATTTTAGTTTTTATTTTATTTTACAATGACAAACCGACTTAAGAGTCATAAGGCTGAGGCAGTTACTGACGCAGGTATTATATCAGACACTTTGAAAGCTTAACAATTACCTAGTCATTACATGTTCACATCTGGTTAGTGTCAATAAACCCTACATGAGGCACCAGCTAACCTCCAAACTATGAGTCCCTTGATTTGGTGTGAGGTTGTTGCACCTTGTATGTCTCCCAGTTTCTGAAGAAATTGACAGAGCCATCCACTCTCCTCTGGATCACAGTCCAGCCACCTGGGTCATGTCTCTGGTCACACCACACCTGCATAAGCCGGTTGGCATTCTCTGGCTTTACCAGGCACATACCGCTGGCAGTGTGGCCATCTTCCAGAGCCTGCAAACAATCCTTAAATGGACCTGAACAGAGATGACATTACATCTATAGCAACCATTCTGAAACTGAGACATGATACAAACATCCATAATAGTGCTTTGTGATACTTTAACACAGCCATGTTACCTTAGCCCCAAGTGTTGCACAATTGTTTCTTCTCACAAGTAACACAATAACACATGTAAATAAAAAGATATTATGCCCAAGAGGGTGCGTCATGTGACCCTTAACATCCAATCATTAAGTGATCATACCTGTGGCAATCTCAGAGCCCATCGGCTATTGTCTGTAAATTGTCTGTTTATTTTATACATAAGTCAGAATGTTTCTCTACATAAAACCCACAGCTATACGTTTTGTCACAGTTTTAACTCTATTAACACCAATCTGCTTATGAATGCAGATAAATTAAACAGACTGCTCAAAGTCTGCTCAAACGTGGTTGGCCGACTTGAAATGGAAACCAAAGGGATTCTAGCTCCATAATCTGGTCCTCCAACTATACAGTTAGTCTATAGAGATACACCTGTGTTAAAGGTTAGGCTAAAGATGGAAAATAACCAAAAAAAAGGAAAAGAAATCAAGGCATGAACTGAACCAAGGGTCTGAACCAAACCTTGGATTCGGAAATTCATTACACCCCTATTAACATGTAAAATTTGGTTGCTGTATTTTATTAAAAACTTGAAATTGAGAAAAAGTCAGTGACACAAAGAGATGTTATACTCTGCCATAGGAAACCCCTATTTTCAGCAGACGCTTTCATTTTAACAGTAGAATTGACTTTGGCTGCTTCTCTCATAAGGGAAATGGCTGCCGGCTGTGCAGCCAAAAGAAACAGAGGCATGAGGGGCAAAGGGAATCCTGACTACTGGATGATGAAACAGGAGCAAACATTTCGATCATCTGTGCTTTATAGACTGGGATTATTATTCTACCTACTTTTGCTTTGGTTTTTGTGTTTCAAATTATACAAACTACAGCCCTTCATTATTCTGCAGCATTAGAATTCATGCTACCAATGTTTTCATGCAAAGTCAGTACCACTTAACTGGATTTAATTGTGCAAAACAGTTTGCCTGTGTGCCATTATGATTTTATTCCAAACCTAGTAGAGCTGGAAAAACACTAATAAGGCTTTTGGCGCCCTGGCTTCAATTGGTGTGAAGAGTTTAAGTTATAAAGATGTCACACTTGTATGGTTTACCAGCTGGAACAGATTACAGAGTTTATATACAATGGAAACAAACAAAAAACGAAAATAGGGTGTCACACGAAATGTTAGACGTGAGGGACGTGGGGCATCAGGAGTTTGCAAGACATGAGGACAAATTATGTGTATGAAACAAAACACGTCATGAAGTCTTGCTCAGCTGACAGAGCTATAAGTGACTACCCAGTTGTCTCAATAACATGATTGCTATTGGTTTAATGAATTCACTGTGAATGATCTGTCTTATGCCATCCTTTTGCTCTCAGGAATGTCTCTGTTGAGCAGATACAAGCCAGAGTGCTGCCCTGCTCTGTTCTGCCTGATAAAGTCTGCTGATTTGGTGGAACATATGACTGATTCTTGCCTGGTGGAACAAATGACATCATTGACTGCCGGTATCTCTTTCTGTTCCTACATTACGCCCTCCCCTTTTTGACTCTATCCCTCTGTGTCTCTGTGTTCCTCTTTCAGGTCTCTCCCTCTACTCCTGCATTGTGTGTTGTGCTCTGTTCGTGTTAAGGGTTTATGTAACTTTTGGGGTGTTGGTTGCTGTGCGAAGGAAATTATTTGCCTCCTTTGAAAATTTCTACTCAAAGGCTCCCGTTCACATGCAGCTTAGTGAAAATTGCAAGCAGTAGCACAACATGTAAATGGAAAAATCTCCCAGGTTTGTTCCCCTGATGTGCCATTTTTTTCTGAAGATAGCAACAGGCTATTTAGTGCAACAAATCCATTAACTTGTGTTCCAATGCCCATGGGCTTAGATCCAGCTATCTATTAAGGCACATGTATTTACCTTGCTAATGTGCTTTGTGTGAGTTGTATCATGGCAATTAGATAATATGCATCTCAAAAGGCGGTGGACAACAGAATTTTTGTTCTCTCTTAGGCCTTTTGTTCTGGGAATACGTGGGACTCATTTAAATTGGCTATGAAGAATGAGTGGTTGTCTTGTGATTAATGATTAAGACAGACAATCCTTTGTTTGTGATTACTGTTTGTGATGGCATCTGGTATGTCTGATAAGACTGCATAAAATAAAAGTTCATATTGGACTTTGTTAGACTCACCAGAGGGTTTGTCAGTGGTGGAGGGGCTGTGTGTGCCAGCGGGCATTGTTGGAAGAGGTGGTGACTTTTGGTCACTCTGGATCTCGTTGCTGATTGGGTTGTTTATTCGTGGAAGGACAGGTGGGTGGTAAGGCTTATTAACGGGCGGTGATGGTGGAGGGGGCTGAGGTCTTGGCTGGGGGATGGGCACATGACGAGGGGGAGGGCGACTCTGGCACTGCTCCTCCAACAGGACAATAAGAGCTGATTGGTTAGTGGCCAAAGAAGCCAAGTGCTGGTACTTGTGCTCGAGATCTTTGTATCGACTGGTGAGATGCTGCATCTCAGAGGTTTGGTTCAAGATCCTGTTCTCCATCTGGGCCAATTCCAGGGCATTGTCTCTCTTTCTGATGATCTCATGGAGCAACTGCATGTACAGCTGGGTGACTCTCGAGTTCATGTTTCGGCTCTCCTTCCTCAGAAGCTTGACCTCATTGACAATGCCCCCGTCCACCTCTACTAATTGTTGCAAGGTCTCGATCTGCCTCTTTTGTTTCTGTAGCTCCACATTCAGCAGCTCTAGCTCCTGTTTGTTGACCCGATTCTCCAGCATAGCATCTGGCTCCTTGGAGTTGACACAGATGGCTCCTGTCACTTTTTGCTGTGGCACTATAAAAGTGTAGGAGCATTTGTCCTGCTGCTGGTCAGCTGGAGCACGTTTGCTCCTCCTGGCATAGAGAAACTCTCTCTCAAAACCATCTTCACTGCTCTCAAATTCTTGGGTCCTGCCACGGCTGTTGTCAGATGGACTTCCCTGAGTCAGTTGAATGCCACAGGCTAGTCCAAAAATAAGGAGTCCCAGCAGGACCATTGAAGGGGTCTCCATGAGTGTGTCCAAGTTACCAAAGCCTGGGAAGAATGGATAGGAAAATTGAGAACATGATTGTATTGTAGTGAAAACATTTTTTGTAAACGTTTGTAGTTGGTAAGCAGAAGCTTGATCTTTGAGTACCTACTCACTACCTGTTCTGCCTCTGATTAAAAGCTCTCAGGATTGGGATGTATGCATTGTGACAGGGCATCAATGGAGTGCTTCAAAGCTATGCTAATGGAGACCAGAAGAAGGCTGGCCACACTGGTCCACTACTTTACTACCTGCTAGGAGCAGGCAGGCGCCGATGTCCTGTTCCTACACATCTCAGATTAAGCAAAGCTGGAGGTTATTACAGCTCCCAAAAATAAGAGCTACTGAAAAAGATTTGATTTGAGAGGAAATTGCCGACTTGTCTTTCGGAGTGCCTCACTGACTGCTGTTATTCTCCATGACAGGGCCTTGATCCTGGTTTGTTTAAATCAGCTTTCTTCTATCAGATCCATGTTGTACAAGCTGTTTGAAAGTGACTAATCCCCTCACTGGCCCTAAGAAAAATATTTATTACGTCAAATGATGTGCTGATCTCTCGAGTCAGATACATTGCTGTTAGGGAACTGTGTTTAGCTTAGCTTGCTGTACTGGCTCAGGTTCTTTTTGGGTGATTGCCACTGCTTGTTCGTGACACAAAGCAACCCTCCCATCTACTCCCCCTCTGCAGGCCTGGACATCTTTGCTTATGGAAAATTTGAAGCACCACCAGATGATTCTATTCATGGAGCTGCTTAAAATATTGATTGTGTTGCATCAGTCTTCAGTAAGGGAAATAAGTTGCATGCAGACACTAATAGGGAATTAATCATAAGTGATGTATCCTCTTTGAACATGTCTGTTTCTGATATAACTGTTAGACTAAAAGCTTACTTTAACTATCAAGAATGCTGAATAATCTAATTACATAACATTACCATTACCTGTGTCTGTGTTCACTTTTGATCAAATCGGATTGGACCTTGTGGCACAACCCATAATCTTCCTCAAGAACTAATGAGAGTGAGCTGGTTCATTCTGAATTCATAGACAATTGAATAGAAAAATAAGTGCAGGCAATTTTTGATGATATTGCGGTGTTATTAGTAACCACTCATTGCTGAGGAGAATGTAACTCCTGTGTGGATGACAAGGCCTTGAACTCCTGGGGCACCTTATTTGAAAGCTACTGCATATTGGATTACAGTGGACTCCTGTTTAACACCTCCCCAGAGTCAGTGGGGGGGCCTGTCTAATCAGAAAGCGATGTAGTGAGGTCTATACTGGCTTGATTCTTGAAGAGCTGCGTAAGGATTGCCAAGATTGCCAATCTAACAAGGGTTTCTGCAAGTATTTGTCAAAGTTTATCTCTGTGTGAAAGATAAAACTGGTAAGAGAGTTGAAATTTTTTGTTTTGCTAATCCAGGCATGGTGCCAGCACATTAGGTCGAAGACACGGAGAAGAGAAATGCGGCACTTTCCAAGAACATGAACTTGGCACATTCAACCCTTTTGGCTTCATCTGAATAAAATGCGTAAACACTTTTTCTTACTGGAAACTAATTTTGTATACTGCTATTATGTAACCTGTTGGCCTTTTTGATATTATAGTTAAGGCGGCAAAAGAAATGACCATACGCTGCACAGAAATGTTGAGTCTGATTCTTGTATGTATTTTCCTTACACAGTACCCAAGTCATTTGCTGGAATATGAATAAAATAACCACAAGAGTCTAGTTTCCATTTTAGATTTACCATGAAAGATCTTTTACTATTAACCCTGCTAAAAAGCCTGGTTGTATGACATCACCTCTGCAAATGCTGATTGATGGAAATATAATGTAGAATAGTTTTCACACCCTGCAAATAGATAGTTATTATCATCACTTAAAATATCTTAATGAAATCACTAATACTATCTTGCATGTATGCTCATACCAAGATAACCGAGCCGTTCAGAGCCTGTCCTGTGTAATGTGTAATAGTGCTGATGACTGTATTTAGCTCGTGGCTCCTGTGGTTTCTGCCCTCGGAACATGAGCTCTGTCTCTGAGAAATGCTGTGTGATTTGCCCCTGCTGCTGAGGAGTCCCATGTTGGACATTGTTAGCCTGGAATCTCCTGCTCTAGGCCTCACTACACTTCAAAGCTGAGGGGAAAATGTTTGCAGCTTGTGATGAAATGTGTTTGTGTGCACTCGCATGCCGTATGTGCGTGTCTGTAACAGAGTTTTGTGGTTAATGTGTGTGTTTAAACAACAACACTCATTGGGCTCAGTCTCCCAGGAACCGGAGAGAGTCCCATCTGCCCCAACAGAGACAGCCTGTTATTAACCCATCCACAGTCTGCCAGAGGGAACAACAGAAAGCCTCCTCCTCCGTCTTTGCTGGTAACAGCCCCCACAGCTCATCATTGTCCCATAATCAGTTCCCTTTAACAAGCTGCTATTGACTGGCCAAAAGCTTTAATGATTAACTGGTGTTTAAGTGTTGTATAAAATACCAGTCAAAAGTTTCAAAACACCCCTTTTATTTATGCAGATCAGGTACAGTGAATAACCTGATGGTAGAAAGGTAACCACTGAACCGCTCAAGGTAAAAAAGATTTTTCATCACTGTACCTGAAAATATAAGTGAATTCCATAGCAAACATCCTTTTTTTAGGGATTAAAAGTTTGTTAACTAAAACAGCTTTGAGCATGAGAAGAAAAGAACCACACGGAGCTTCACATGATGAAGAGCAGCACAATCTCCACTTTAACCTCATTGATCTGGTTTGGGATGAGCTGAACAGAAGATGAAACCAAAGCAAACTAATTCAAAGTTGTGAATGACTGCAATGTTTTATTTCAGATACACAAAATTTCAAGTTCTAAAACCTTTAATGGGTAGTTGAGCCCACTCATCACAGGACCTAAAGGCGGAATTGCCATTCTCATTTTAATTTGATTGGCAGCTCCCCATGGATATTTTCCTCAAGCCTTCTTCACACCAAAATGTTTTGGTTTTACTGTTTTCAGGTGGTAAGTCTGTGTTTACATGACTCCTCTTAGCGGATTTCACTGAATGTGAAATCAAGTGTGATAGGCAGGTGCAGCGTGTAGGTCAGTGTGTCTCTGACCAGCTCCAGCCTTTTTGGTCATGCTCAGCACATATTAATTAGAAGGTGGGCAGCCTGGCTCAGACTGGTTGATGTCTCGCTCCCCAGCCCCTCTCATTTCAGCATGAGCATGGCATTCCTCACATTCTTTGTCACCTCATTAGTGTGAGCTGGCTTACACACATGTAGAGTTGGTGGTTGTGGCAGACGGTGAGAGCTACGCCCTTCAGACACCGGACCATTACTCTCTTTATTCCCACCGCACCTATAAGACGTACTGTATCTACTGACCCAATTCATAACCCAATGTCCTATTTTCTATGTGAATGCTTCATAATCACATCATCATCAACTACAGCAGGAGATCACAACAAGACTACAAAGCACCTAATTTGTCAGTAGCCAAAAAGAAGTGGGCACTTTGCTGGTGCTGCATGTTTAAATTAGTGCCAACTCCACTTAGAACATGCAATCTCCTGCTTGACACCCAATATGTGTTGGATCAGAGTCAAATTAAATTTGCTCATGGTAATCTGTCCTATTACCTTACCTAGAGGGTGACCTCATTCTTTCCTGAAGCATGTAATCCTTGTAAGCATGTAACATGACATTTGGAACATAATTAATCTCAACTACCTGCTCAGTGTTTGTTTTGACTCTCCATTTAACAGGAGAGGTAAAGTTTTTTCTGGAATTTAGGTTTGGTCCTGTCTCTCTTGCCCTACCTCCGTTGTGATCTGAGTCAGACAGGGAAGCAGGGGGTCTTGCAAATTGTTTCGATAAGTTCCAGCATGCTACCTCAAAGCTGCCTTATCCAAACACTAGCCTGGCAACAGAAACAAAGACGGGATTCATTTCACGGCTTCCCTGTCCTCTTGAGCCCAGGGGAACATCCTGAAGCTGCACACTGCCTGACATAGTACACTTTATCTTTTATTCTTTTTTAGAAGCAAGTGGCAGCTTTTGATATCACAACTTTTTTTACACTTTTAGGTTCCTGTGTTTTCACAGTGTTTTATCAGTAGTGTAAAAGCGCTATGCCTTGGGAGCCTGCGCCCCAGCATCCCCATGCGCTATGGTAAACTCTCTTTAACAGAGTCCATCCGTCTGATTAGTAATCAGAGAGTAGAATTAACCGTTGGCAACAAACAGTGAGTCAGACACTAGATGTTGCATGACAACCGCTGAATTCAGGATTAAAGGAAATCATGCAGTGCAGCAGTTCGAGAGGGAACAGTCACAGTCTGGCGTCCATCAGATAAACGAAATGACCACATAATTGCTTTGCCATCATGTTAGAAATGCCACTTGGCTGACTGAGTCTGAGCTAACCAACAACTTGTGTCTCACTAAGACAGGCCATCATTTTCACTCAGATCATTTTTTACAAGGGTGGGAAATTGATCAATGCAGTGAATTGATGTAATGTGCAGTGTCTCTATTAAATTAAACAAATATATGAGATAAATATAATTCAAATATTACACAATACTTACAAATAACGATAGAATATTGATGAAGCTCCCTCAGTTGCCTTGTCCTCCTGCCTGAGATGATTGAAGCTTCTCCTGGTTGAGAGTCATCCCAAATGTAAAAGCTGCATGCCTGTGTCCTGTTCTCAAAGTCTGCTGTCTAGTTACTCACTCTTTGTCACCTCAGTTCATTCCACTAGTGAAGAGGTAGCTTATCTGTGAAGACTGTTATTAAAAGACTATCATTAGCCCAACAGAAGCTGAACTTGCTGGGAACTCTTCAGTAAACATTGAGTAGATTGTTTCAAAATCCACTTGAAAAAGGTTGGAGCACTTTCAAGAGACAACTGGTAACTTCAGTAGGATGGTGGAGGTAGTTCCCTGATAAATGTTGTGAGTCCGGGGCAGGTTGTGTTCTTCCTGTGGCCCGTTAGGAGAAGACTGTCACTTTTCTGTGGGTTGAATCCATCACTTCTGCCTCACAGCTCTAAGAGGCTGTCTCTCTCAACTGCACCTCTCTCTCTCTCTCTCTCTCTCTCTCACCCTGTCCCCCTCCTTGGTGCTTTTAAATGATGAGAAATCCTCTAACAGTGTTTCAGTAGGCAGACGAATTGAGCTCAGAGCCTCCCCCCTCTCCCTTAAAATGAACACATTCTTGTTTAAAGCAACCGCCTTCTTTCTCCACCCCTCCTCCCCATGGCACAAAAGAGATCCACAAGCATGCACAAGACGCACACACACGCACTTCTCAAATTTCCATCCCCCTGCCCCCTGGCCACCGGTTCACCACCACCAGCACTATTTCTGTCCTGGACTGCATGGTTCTTCTGGTGGTGGACAGCAGTGATGTTACACTGATCACATCCTAATTGGGTGTGAATGAACACTTGCCCTGAGAGAGACGGAAAGACGCTGACAGATAGGAAGCAGATCCAGGTGTTTGACTTAGACCAGGCCTGGATGAGTGACTGCTGACCCTGGTTTTTACAGCCTGGAGGTGAGATGTCAGAAACAGGCAGGGTCTCTGTATAGTGCAGCACACTTGAACTACATCTTGCTGTGGGATAATCACAGAATAACTTAAAAAGCAGAGCTGAATGAACTGTATGTGTATGTGGACAATAGGATATGAAATGTTTCCTGTCAGAGTGCGGACCATCCTGCCAACGATCTATAAATGTCTCATAAACAGACTTGTCTTTTGGATACTGTTGCCATGGCTGATGTTTCCTGTTATGTTGTTGTCTTCCTCTTTAATGAGCTTTCTTTTGTCCGGTCACTTATGTTATGACTGTTTTTTTTTCTTTCTGCTACGGTTATTTAATAGTTAAAGGGAAAGTTAAGAGAAACTACTGAATTTTAGTTTTGTAAATGCATAATTACAAAAGGGTTTACACATTTCTAGCAGCTTTTAAAAAGTAATTTACACCTCCCTCACCAGATGGGCAACTTTTGATACTTTTAATTGGACTTTAGCCTCTAGCAAAAATTAATTAGGTATCATTCCTGTACCAGTAGTCATCCTATCACGTGCCAGTTAATCATTCACTATCAGCCAAATGAACATTTACCTCAGTGTTTTATTGAATTTTTGTGTTTCTACATTTTTTTTTTATGGCCATGGAGTTTGTTTTACAATACACAGGATGTGTGATTCTCCTTTCTTGAATATAAACATTGAATATGTTACAGATGACCAACTTTTATGTTTGTCAACTATAAACCCTGAAAGTGTTGCGATGTGCATAAAATAGAAAAGGGAAAAAAAATGAGGAAAAAATTGCAAATGCCAAAGTTCAGGCTACATTTCTTGTTTTCAACTATGAATGCAATCATTCAAGGGCTCCAACTGATTTTGTACTGTACAATCAGTGTTTTCCACTATATTGTTTAAAATATCAATGTACAATTCCTATAGATAAACATTTGCCTCACTGCATCAGTCAAATCAGACTCTCGTACAATGTGCATGTGTTGTCATGTGTTTTTTATCAAGGAATCCTCTCGTCATACTTTGGGGAAATGTTCCCATGCGCTATTAACCAAGTGTAGTCAGGCTGGAAAGCTATTTACAATAGGTAGCATTAACCTTTCTAAAGTGAGTTGCTGTAATATCCCTGGGGCATGATTTAATAGTAA